TTTATTTATTGTTTGTTCAAAAAACTTTAGAGTAATACTATTTTAATACAAAATAGCATGCATATAGTAAAATTAAATATTGTACAGTATTATAAAATTTATTACAAAATATTTTACCTAATAATATATTACTTATTAATACGGACCCCAGTGCAATTAATTGATGGGCCTTTGATTTGAACCGAGGGATGTAGGTTTGAGTTATTGCTAATGGACGGGGGCGCCGTCAATTTAACTCGGTGGTAGGCAATCTCCGTTTTCACTCGCCATATTTTGAATTTAAAGAATTACAATTTTAGGACTATTAATAACAATCTTTTATTGCACAATTTTTATCAGTGGCACTTCTGCTAACTATCCGTCTGTTAACCAACCCGATTCCTACATCAAATCTGAAGATGGTAGAATGCCGTCACCTCATGAGGCCTTAAACACTCCCCATCGTATCCCTTCTCCTCAAGCCCACCATGTTTCCCACCTGCCTCAATTGTATATACCTCATATGGATTCTTGGTTTACCTGTCCTTATTATCACTTTAAATTAATATTATTATTATTATTCGCTTTTCCCGGGAGTACTTGAAAAAGTCTTTTTTTTTTTGTTCTGATTTTTTTTTCTTGCATATATTTTTCCTATCTTTTTGCATTGTTTTTTTTCTGGCCGTACTTTTGTCACTTCCGGAACTTTTCCGTGCTTTGCCGAAGCATAGGCCATATATCAAGGATGTGCCTCGAAATATTTAGAGTCAATCTATGGTGGGGTGTGCATGTGAGGACCAATTAAAGGGATTTAAGTTCAAACGGTCTACACCGGATTTTCATCAGTCTGTTGATCTGAATGAAACTACGGGAAAGCAATTTTTGCTTTTAGTCACTGAATCGCTATGAACTGAAAATGCACTTATGCAATTAGGTCGGCTCATATAGCGCGCAATGGTTATGGGTCACGATGTACCTCGCTATTACCATAGCAGACATAGCTCAAGTCTCACAATAACGTCGCAGTGAACTTGTTTTTTTTCCACTTCATTTTTTCCAGTTCATTAAAATTATATTGGTTTTCCGTGTTCTTTTATTTTATACCTTTTAACGATTTTTCTTTTTGTTGCAATTTCAACTTCATTTCTCAATAAAGCAATGGGGAAAAGCCCTATGTTATGTTGTTCAAACAGACATAGTAAGTCCAGTTATTGTTATTATTATTATTATTGTTATTATTATTATTATTATTATTATTATTATTATTATTATTATTATTATTATTGTACTTTAATGTTGAGAAGAGTTTTAATTGAGTATTTTAAATGTTTCTTACATATTTGTATATTACTATTAATTATTCTGTACATTTCAAATTTTCCTTAAGTTTGCAATAAAGTTATTTTGAATCTTTGAATCTTGAATCTTTACATGCCTTCAAAATTTGTTGTCGAATAATGCTTAAAATATTATTGTATCTATGAGAAATCATTGAAGTTAAATTACTGAAAATTGACGGGGGCGGCGGTGGGGTGTGGGGTTCAATAAAACGTCTATAACTATATTTTCCATGAGAAGGATTGAAAAAGAATTTTCATAATGTTAAAGAGGACAGTCGTGCGCATCGATTGAAACCATAAACCTTGGTTAAAATCTGTCCCGGTAGCCCATGATTTTGATCTAAACGACCAGGTTATTGAAGACACCTCCAATTTTTCAGAGCACTATTCTCTCGCCCTAGATGATTTTTATGATGATAATTTTTTTTAATTAGAGACCAAAGCTGCTATAGATGATAAAACTTTTGTGTTCCCTAAACGTCTTTAATTGGAGGGAAACTTGTATTTTTTGGATGTATTTACTGTACAGTACAGTATATTGCTTTAATGTTCTAGTCAAAATTCAACTTTTAACCAGTCGCAGGACAGTTTTACGTTGAGCTGCTGCTAAGAGATCGGGTGGTACATGCGACCTAGGAACTAGGTACTATTATAAACGTTTTAAATAATTCGATAGTGAAATTACAATTAGGGCACAATTCCAGAATAGCATATACTATATGAATCACAATACAGTAAGCAATTTTACAATAACTGTGATCCAGATCTCATTAACTGTAAAATTGTATTAGAAAAACAATAATTAAATTCGACAGACATTTTATATTAAGTACACAATATCAATAACTTGTCTGGCCAGTGATAATAATGAGGATGATGATTTATTTTTATTTTATTTTTTTTTTCAATCTTTCGACAAAGAACAGAAAAAGTTGAACAGGGGTGGCGAGGAAAAGCAAAAGTTAAAAGACTGTCATCAATTATTGATGTGCTTAACCGTGATGATGAAAATGATGATGACGATGATAATGATGATAGTTATAATCAACGGCGGCGGAAAGTTTTTGAAAGTGGTGGGACCATTTAATAAGGCCGAGTATGCGAGCGAAGCGGGCATCTAGGCTGGGGGCCAGGGGCTGCTAAGGGATATTTTACGAAGTTTGGTGAATTTTAAGTTATTTTATAGGCATCAAGCTACTGTAATATGATTTCATATTTGTTGTAATTTCAAGTGGCGGATCCAGGAATTCGAAATAGAAGGGCCAAGGAGGGTACTTTCACAGATAGAAGATCTACACTAAGAAAAGTTGTGATTATGGCACCTCTAGATGGCCAGAAATTGCACTTCCAGACATAAAATTTGAATATAATTATCTTTATATCTCCATTTTTTATTGAACAATTTAGGAGGGTGGGGGCGAGCCGTCTGGGTCCCCTTGAATCCTGGGTACTTCAGCAGATGGAAAATCTATACCACCTCAGCCCCACCATGGTTGGGGCTGAGGCAAGAAAATTTGTGATTTTATGGCACCTCTAGATGGCTGGAAATTACACTCTTAGACTTGAAATTTGAATATAATTTTCCTTATAATCTCCATTAAAAAAA